TATATATATATATATATATATATATATATATATATATAATGAAGAATAAAAATATTAAAAATTTAATTCTTCAGACACACTGGGTTGTATATTAATATTCTTTCGTTTATATTATTATTTCATTTAGATCCCTCGACTAGTTTCAGGCCAACATGGCCATCATCAGGAGAAAAAAAATTCTGTTTGCTGGTAGCAGTGAACTACAGAAATGAATGTCTTGATGGAGAATTTATATATATATATATATATATATATATATATATATATATATATATATATATATATATATATATATATATATATATATATATATATATAAATAAATAAATAAGTTAGCTCAGTGGTAGAAGCTCTAAAACCAAATCGTTTAGGGTTTCGATCCTGGCTTGAAGCAATTGCATGTCTAACCACGCTGATGGGCTGTGATACAGTGAAACAGTCTGTGGATGACTATATATATATATATATGTATGTGTGTGTGTGTGTCATTCGCAGAGAGTACGTTTTCGCTGTATCACAGCTCTTCAGTGCGACTAGACATCTGAATGCCTCAAGCCAGGATCGAAACCCAACTGACTTAGAGCTTCTACCACTGAGCTATCATATCATATATATATATATATATATATATATATATATATATATATATATATATATATATATATATATAAAGCGTATTACGTATATAAATTTATTTATTTTTAATCTCTATGCATATTAATACACATATATATGCCTGTAATATCCATAGATATATACACCCCCACACACCTACACTCACACAGAGACAGGGACGCACACACTCAGGCGCGCTCTTCTCCAAAATTGTATACTTGCCCTGTGATGTAAACTGATCTTTTGGTGGGCGAGAAAAACAGCACAATGACATATATTTGCAGTCATGTCACGAGGAACAGTTAAGAAAAAATTGTCGGAAGTTTGAAAAGCATAAAAAATTATATTACTTCCTTACCGCTAATCTTCACCCCCGCTGTCCATCCCGACGAAAATAACTTCGCTTATTCACAACATATGATGAATGAATGAAAGAAAAGAAAAAAAAAAAGAAAAGAGAAACAGAAGATATAATGCATGAAACTTTTGATGGGTTAAAGGAAGAAAGATAGAATGAAAGAACAAATAGGAGAAAATGAATGAAATTTTGACGGGTTAAGGAAGAAAGGACAGTTTCGTTGGGGTTTAAAGAAAGAAACAAAGGTGGAAAATAAATAATTAAATCAATAAATAAGTAGAGAAAAATAGGAAGAAAAATAGGAAGAAAAATAGGGAGAAAAAAGGAATAAAAGAAAGAAAAAAAGCTGGAAAAAGTACAGAATGGACATAAGGCATGGAAGTTTGATGTGTTAATAAAAGAAAGAAAGAAAGAAAGAAAGAAAGAAAGAAAGAAAGAAAGAATAAAGGGGACATGACGCATGAAAGTTTGCATGGATAAAGAAAGAAAGAAAAAAGGAAATAATAAATAAATTAAAAAAGAAAAAGAAAGAAAGAAAGAACGATAGATAGATAGATAGATAGATAGATAGATAGATAGATAGATAGATAGAAAGTACGGCGTGGACCTAATGCATAAAAATTTCCTGGGTATGACGATAAACTAGATCCGGCAGCAAGGCTTCCGATCGGAAAGTTTTGAGGAGCATGGAAATTTAATGTTAATTGCTGTTGTTCCCAGATCCACTCTGAGGTGGTAGCACCTGTTTGTGTCCCAGCTATGAGCAAATAGTTAACTCCCAAAACACTACGAAAGTATAAAAATACATTTTTATAGTAAAAATACCTGCAATGCATTTTTGAAATATTACCACCAATGTCATTCAACAAAGATGATCTTTACAAAAATACACCATTGAAACCTGATCTACAAACTGATTTCTTACAAAGAATACATATTCTATTCATACGAACCTGTCCTAAAATTCTAGTCGGCATTAAATAGCACAATGAGGTTGATAGAGCGTAAAACGATCTGATGGGGTAAAGACAGGAAGAAAAAAAAGAAAGAAACAGAGACTAGTGGAAAGAAAGAAAGAAAAAGAAAGAAAGAATGAAAGTTAAAGAAAATAGAAAGAAAGAAAGAAAGAAAGAAAGAAAGAAAGAAAGAAAGGAAGAACAGTGTCGTCATAATGAATGGAAGTTTGTCAAGGTGAAAGAAAGAAAGAAAGAAAAAAAAGAAAAGGAAGAAAGAAAGAAAGAAAGAAATAAAGAAAGAAAGAACAGTTTCGTCATAATGATTGTAAATTTGGGGGTGAACAAAAAAGAAAGAAAGAAAGAAAGAAGGAAAGAAAGAAGGAAAAGGAAGAAAGAGAAGAAGGAAAAAAACAGTCGTCGTCATAATGAATAGAAGTTTGTGAAGGTAAAAGAAAGAAAGAAAGAAAGAAAGAAAGAAAAAGAAAAGGAAGGGAGAAAGGAAAAAAAAGAACAGTATCGTCATAATGAATGGAAGTTTGTGTGGCGAACGAAAGAAAGAAAGAAAGAACATTTTGCTACGGAGAGCGCCCTATTCATTGACTGCATCCCGATCTGTCTCTAAATATCTTGATGATACTACTTCATAATCTAAACAGATAGCGACTAGAGGATGGGGTTAATGATGTGTGCAACTCTCCCTCTCAGTATAATTCAGGTCTATTGCAAATCATCTTTTCTGATGAGGCCGTGCTCAGCTTCAAGTCTAAAGCACAAGCAGACTCTCTTTTTTCTATTTGCCGTGTGCCATCAGAATCTAGGCGCTCATGGCTCTCCAGAATTTCCCATCCTTTGTAGCGCTTAGTAAACTTTATCGTTTTTGCTGTCTCTTGAAATCCTTGTGATTTTATTCCAACTGATTGTCGATGATTTGTGTTACAGCGCATATTATTTTAATATTCATTTTATTCTGTCTTAATCCTTGACAAATTACGGCTATATGAAGATGCATCAGTGAAGTTAAGTTTGGATGTGCGGTGGGTGTAATCAATAACGGCTAATAATGAGAAATAAGTGAGCTGAGTTCGAATTGCAGTCGAGTTCGTCATATTTGCTGTTGAATCACATGACATTATCCATCGAAACGATTAGGCTGCGTGATCTTCACTGTGGGTGATGTGATAATTTTCAAGATGGCGGAATAAGAGTTTGGCGCATATTATTATAAAAATCAGAAAGACTAGAACAGAAGACGTTCGAGGGAAAAAAAACTAAACAATCTGGACGGCAGTATTGTGATATTGTCACTGGATCATATGTAGTTGGGTGCACGGTTCCAATGGGTGTTTATCATTGTTCCGTTATTGGCCCGAGTCGGTTGCGTCGAAACGGTATTACCTACGTTTTATTAAACAAATATATCGAAGTTGGATTTTATCTGCTTCTTGCTGAAAATCTAATTCAAATAAGCCAGTGACACACTTATTATTATTATTACTATTATTATAAGAGATTATAATAAAAACATTTTGAAATCGCTACACAAAAGATTTCATGTTTCAATACTATGATTGTACTTCTTCAGGCGATGGTAAGTAGCTGGTGATTGAAATGCTTTTTAAGGAAATTTAATTTTAAGGATTGTACTTCCTCAGACTACGGTTGGTAACTGGTGATAAAAATTAGAGAAATTTAAAAACAAATCGTTACCCTTTTTTCCGAAAGTAAAAGACGCATTAATTCTGGCCTTATGCTCCTCTCCTAACTGTAGATTTTTACTTCATTTGTTCTTTCTCTTATATATATATATATATATATATATATATATATATATATATAAAAAGTGAACATAGAAGTCAACACTTAGAGGCGACAGTCTGTTTCATGCTAGATGCAATCGTCAGGCCACGCTCTATCTCTGATATTGAGCACTTTGATATTGAGCACTCTGATATTGAACACTTTATCCCATAAATATTGCACATCTTAAGACTATATATATATATATATATATATACAAGCATACAAGCCCACAGCAAGGATCTCGGGACATAGCCACAGGAATATTTGCTGATGCTTTTCGCCATTGTCTTTCGTCTGTTTGTCGGTCAAAACGATTGACTTTGAAATTTCTGATACCACACTTGCATAAACATCTCCAGTTATTTCTATTCAGGGCAACTCGGTCGAAGTTAGTATGAGGCACATTGACATCATCATCATCATCATCATCATCATCCTGCGGCCTCAGCCGAGATTGAACTCACTACACCTCTCCAGTATTCCCTATCCGTCATAGCTCCTAAAAGATCTTCCTTAGGGATCAATGTGTCTCGTTTCATCCTATCTGGAAAGGTTAACTTGCGTGATCGATTGACAGATGATGGGTGCCTCCAGAGTACAAATGATGACACAAGTTCATCTGTGACACGTGCACAATGCCCGGCGAACTGGACACGTCTCTTGCAAACTAAAGTTGATACTCTTGGCAAGTCTCCATATATCATTTCTAGAGTTTGGCGGTTTCGCCATGAAAGATTAAGCACTCTTCTTAAAAGACGTGTATAACATCCATCTAAACGGCCCTGTTGTTTTGCTGGGAGAGTCCAAGTTTCAGAGCCATAGAGTAAGATTGGCTCAATAAGTACGCGGAAAAGTTGGATTTTGAATTGACGAGCAAGATTGGATTTCCAGATCTTATCCATTTTGTTACAAGCAGTCCATGGTATGCCTTTTCATTGACATTGACAGCTGAGAGACCCCACTCTTTAGCATGTCATTAGAACTGAGCCACGGCTGCCCAACGTTCACTGGATAAATAAAAGAAGATAATTCCAAATAGGATGTAACCCAGAGAGCTCAATGTAACAACAGAGCAAATATTAATTAAATAATTATAATTAAGAGACAACTTTAAGGTTTCATTTTTATTTTATTTGTTTTAAAATAATTTTTGGGAAACTTAAGGTTGTCTCTTTCTTAATTATAATTATTTAATATATATATATATATTCATGAATTATTCACACAAAAACAAATGCAAAGGTTAATGATTTAATTGGCGAGAAATCCAT